TATGGTTTAAAATCTGGCTTATACATACCCCATTGCAACAATTTTCTAATTTCTGAAAAGACCCTTCTTTTCCCAATTCCATACTTCTCTACTCCACATGAAATTGAGGTACCCAAATTTGTTTAAAATAGATTTGAAGGATTTGAAGAAAATTAATTTAACAATTCTTTTAGTAACTTATTCTATCAATCTCAATTAAAGCAAATTATACAATAACTATACTCATAACCAAGTACTTCTCAGAGTTGTTATGAAACTTAATATATAAAATTTATGAAATTGATGAAGTTATTTCAAAATAAAATATAAACAAAGAACTGAATCCTGCTGAATGACAAAAGGGTCACAGATTTTTTTTTTTAAATCATTTTAGCTCATCTAAGAAATATCAGATAGTGAACAACAGTGGGCAATATCAAGATCAAAAATAAGATAGAAAAAGTCAGGTAAGTAATATGAAAGCTATGAAGTATTTCCAAAAGACATTAAATTTTATATGAAAGTCACCAAATTTAAAAGTTGACAGTGTGCCATCTCCCTTTAATCATTAAATTCTCCTAGTAGCTTTTACTAATTGCCATTATCATCAGCATCATTCCCTGTCATTGATGTCGTAGAGACAAAACTTTAGTCATATGTTATACAGTCGCTATGGCCTACAGACTGACTTTGGCATTGGCTGTTAGATTTGTCTCTTCCTTACTAAGTTCAGGTATTTCCCTAGGCCTAGCTATCACTATGTATATCTGGATTACTCTACCAGCCTCTCAGTCTCCCTAATCTGATGTCTCTGTACATGATACACAATAGAATAATTTTTCTTAAATTATAATTTCATCATGTCATTCCCATATAAATACCTACTGTCATTTCTTAGTTGTGTAATAATATTGACAACACTATTATTTATTAAAGTAAATACTATGTCCCTGGTACTGTGCTAAATGCTTTACATATGTTAGTGACCTAATCTTTTAAAAACACAGTAAATATAACTATCCCCAATTTATAGATAAGGAAACTGAGACTCAGAAAGGCTGCTGACTAAATTCCCAAAGGTCACACAGTTATTAAGTGACAAAGCTAAGATTCAAGCACAGGTCTGTTTCTATCAAAAGCTCTTAATCAGCACTCACAACAGGGCTTGGCACAAAGTATTCACTAAATAAATAGTTGTTAAACAAATGAACGAATAAATGAAATACTATGTTATACTACCTTGGCATAGTAATAATCAAATGAAAATTTTTATTTTTTAATTCAAGGCCCATATTTTAAAACTAAACAGCTGGCATACATTACCTTTTTCATAATATTTATTGAGTAAAACTAAATTAAAGGAATTGTATTGGTATGGACCCAAAAAGAACATGACACAGAGAAAAAGTCTTCTGATCGCTTTAATATGATCCATATTAGCATTTATTTATATTTCCCTTTACACTAGCTAAACTTATATTTATTTTACACTTGGAGTCAGGTAACCACAATTATTTACACTAATTTTATTAACATTTAATTTAGTTGCAAAATACAGAAAGCTTCCATTAGTGGAAAATCACATTGCTGGAACACAAAATATTGTGTGTGAACACGTTGGACATGCACACCAAATTGCTTAGGGTGTATAGATTCCTAAATAGTCTGCACAAAATTCCTTGGAGATAATGTTTTAAAATTTTAATATAGAACAAATGTCACTGTCTAGCAATTTAAAGATATAAGGGACTTCAGAGTTCAATAACAAATACAGAGTTGTTATTTGAAACAAAAATGTAGCTCTTGAGAACAATCAGTTCAGTTTTCTAACAGCAGTTATAGTGTGTGGTCATAACCATTTTTTCCCCTTTTACAGAGGTCTCTAGGTACACATTTTTAATGTATCCTAGCACTTTTCAGTTAATGTTTTATATTTCTGTAGCTATTATTTTCTGTTGAAAGAAAACTAGTAAAGGTTGAGTCTAGAAAGGGAAAACAAAGGAAGAAGATCAATATTAACACTCTACAAATATTGACTTAGCAAAGTGACTTTGTTGTCTTTCTCTCATAGGAATTGATATTGAATGAATGATTTATTTATAAGAAACAAAATAAAAAATCACTTGGCAAAGTACATAATTAGATAATCTGTTCATGAAGTTCAAAAACTGAAGAGTCATCATTTTCAAACTGAAGAGTTCTTAATATTCTTATTCATCATTTTTTCTTTAAAAGTATTAGAACTGGCTTATAGGTAGAAATGCTGCTGAAAAACCTCAAAGAATTACTTCATAAACTTTACTGGTTCTCTGTAGACACCAAATAGTTATTAATAAATTTAATGTCGATTTTTTTCAGAAAAAGTCATATCTATTCATTTAAAATACTATACCTTTACTGAGTTTGGCTCAGTTAACTTTGAGCTTCGGTTACTATTAGCCCCCATGGTGATTGTGAAAGAAACAGATGTTTTGAACTTTCTGGTTGTTGCCAGTAAAGAACTCCTGGTGTCACCTGTAACAAGTAATAGTTATTTGGTCTCACATTATGAAAAGCTGTCAATAGAAAGTTTGTTTCTAAACACAATGAGTATAAAAGGCCTGTGTATTAATTTTGTTCTCTTTATTCTTCCTATTGAAATGAAGTCAGAAGTTTTATATACGTATTTATATTTATCCCTAATTTATGGGCTACCAATAAGATTCTTTATTTCAATATGTCACATTTTAACCTGAAATTTTAGTTTTCATAAAATATAATGAGCATAGCCAAGTCAAGTTCCATAATAAAAATTTACTTCAATAGATTTTTACAGCTAAGCGAGTCTAGAAACGGTAGCTAACATAAGTTGGATTCTCATTTGTTTTATCACTGATAAGTAAAGATGGATGGAAAAGTTTATCAGAATATAACTCTCCATTCTTAATCAAGAAATTCTTGGTGTCAAAAAGTAAATACCTTTATTTGAGAATGTTTCCTGATCAGTTTTTCTTATGATTCTAGGCGATGGTTTTGGTCCTGGTGATGGGTCCCCTTCAGGGGACCCTTCGATGTGACTTCCAAACTGTTGACGCTTCAGTTTACTGTCAACCTCCAGTTTTTCTAGAGTAGTTTTGAGACATTCCTCATTGGTTGTCATATATAATTTACAAAACTACAGGAAATAAAATAGTGGTCCAGTGGGTAAAACATTCAATCATACATTTGGGAGGAAAAGGCAAATGCACATTAGTAGGCAAGGGATAGGCTGATAGATGGAATATATTTCCTATTGAACTAGGTTACTTACTCATTTTATTTTCTTGAAACACACTGACCACCCTCAAGTGACCTAGTGAAATGTAGCCATGATTCAAAGAGGAGGTCATACTTGGATGAAAATAAAATGTTACACAAAGAGAGATGATTTATTATTTTTTTACAAGACATGTATACACTTGCATTTGTTCTAAGTAATTTCTATGATTCTTCCACCACAGAAAAGGCATATTTCTGAGAAGAGCCTCGTGTGTGTGTCTGTGTGTTGTGTGTGTGTGTGCACATGCACGTATTTTAACTTGGTTATATCATTTTTAATGTAGTCATCAGATCACAGTTGTGGGACTGGAGAGATTAAATTTCAGTACAATTAGTACACAGTATATAAATATGTCACTGCCAACATTAAAAAGATGTGCCCTTTTAAAAATGCTTCTCATACACAGTAAACAAATTTACATCAATATGAGCTTATGTACCTTGATGTAGTCAAATTTGCCATCAGCATTTACATCAGCCAAATTTATTACAGCATTTACTTCCTCTCGAGTCATCTTCTCACCTCTCTGAAAAAACAAGATTTATTTTAAAGCAACATGACTGTCACTTTGTTATGCATGGAGAGAGGGGAAATTCATTTTAATCTTTTCTACAAGTAAGTTCGAATATATGATTTCATTTTAAATCTCAGAATGAGTATTATGTCAAGCAAGAATGAAACTGTTATATAAAATTTCACTATTTTATTAAGTTTTGTAAAAGTGTGATGAATTTCGGTTTACTAAATTTCAACAATATGTAACATACATCCAGTAATAACTACTATTAAATTTAAAGTAATGACATTTTCTCACATTGTACCAAGAAACAGAATGGATTCCAAATCCCATTTATACTTTGTTTCTCTTTGACTCATCACGTATGAATCACTGATTATAGAGTTCTGAGAGGAAAGAATTGCAAAGAAGCACAAGGGGATTGCAACATGGGCTCAATTTTATACTTTATCTTTTATTTACAAAGCACCTTTCATCCAAAGGATCCTAAGTACATCATAAACAACACATATGTGATTCATTTCATCTGCCAATGAAATAGTTATTTTTAATGTGGACTACGGTTGCCAAAGGTAGATTCCAAGTTGTTTTGCAAAATATGCACATTACAAAACTGTTTTACAGATCTTACCTTTGTTAGAAGTTTATAAAGGTCAGTGTGTAAAATATAGCCATCATCATTTACATCTAATTGCTTAAATGATTTTAGCAGTTCTCCTTTTGAAGTTGGTTTTTCCTTTCTTAAAATTATACAAAAATCATCGAAATTCAGTTTGGCAGTTTGAGGCGTCCAATACTTATTAACAGTCTTTTGGGATGGATTTCTTCCTGCATGCTGAAGAGCTGCCCAATAAAACAAGGGTTTTTTTTATAGCAACATCTGGAATTGGTATTTAAGTGTAATTTTTTCTTCAAATCATTATATATTATAATAGTATACAAAAGTATATACATACCAATATATTACATTTGGTGTTGATAATCTAGTGATATCAATGTATGCCTTATTTTCAAAACCATATATATAAATATAAATATATATATATATGTTACCAGCTAAAGACCCTTGATGTAGTAATGCCAGTATTAAATAAATTTTTCCTGTTCTGACAGTTGGTCCTCAACCTAACAGTTTAATTGACACTATCTATTTTACATCAAAAGAGTGCCTCGAGGGAAAAAAAACACAAAAACGATTAAAAACAACCATCCGCATTGTTCTGAAGATGTAAGAATAACCCCAAAATCATAAATTATTACTTTTCTTGGCTCAACAAATATCTTAATGAAATGAAGAAATAATTGTTTGAGAGTGTTACTGTCACCAAGGCATGATGTCTAAAATGCTCATCATTGCTAGATATTATAGTTTCAAGAACATTAATCATGTCCCAAATGTTAAATATATGCACAAAAAGTATCTACCTGATGTTATAGCCCTGCTAAAAATCAAGAATGTCAACATACTTTCAGAGAAGACTATTGTAGAGATGCAAATGGTCAAATTACTTTTCATTTTTAACCAGAACACTTAAAAGTAGTCCTATAACTAGTTATTTATGAGATGTTCCTATTTTAAAAATAATGCCCTCATAGCTAGGAAAGGCAAAGAATTATGATGTGAGAGAGGCTTTATATGTTTGCACATGACATATCACACTAAAATATAATGGTGTCAAAAAACCTGTATTTTGTACAGCAGTAACTTGGTAATTTTCAAATAAACAAATCTTTGCATAGTAAGACTTAATGATATCTGAAATGAACCAATGATAAGTTTCCTAAGCACTATAGAAGGAATTAACAGAAGTTTAAAAGGTTTAACTCTCCTGAATTGTGCTACCAACTCCTATTATAAAAACTTACACTGGATATTTCCAACTATCTTAGGTGAGATTTCACAAAATCCATACATTGTCAATCAGCACTAAAAAATTATAATCTGGATATTCTACAATTTATGTAATAAGGACTAATGTATATAAAACAAATTAACTAAAGAAATAATCTCAAGGAAACAGAAATCGGGTCAGGGTAAAAAATACAGACATTTTTGAGTCCCTTAGGTTGAACCTTCTTTGTGCAGAAGCACAACACAGGACAATTTCTTTTTCCCAGAGATACAAGCTTCTTGGCTCCTAAAAAGTTTTACAATATAAATAGAAATAACTGACGTGTTAAATTGCTGCCTGTGGTCATGATTTATGGTTAATAACATTATTAGAAGTCCACAGACTGAGAGAAATGTCCCCATCCTCCAGATTAGCTCCCCCAGAGCTAACAAAAGTTGTAGTATAGTAACTGCCATCGCCCATTCACCTAGAAAGCCTTTGTGGAAATTTGTAACAGTGGAGATTATATAATTTTTTTATTTCCAGAGGCTTATTCTGGGTGTAGAAAAAAAAGCCCTGATTACCATGTTGCCCTAGGAAAAAAAGATAAGTATTTTGCCTGTTGTGAAAATGGACAATTCCTTAATTCATCTATCAAGAGAATCAGGAAAAACGCATATGTCTTTTAGCATTCCATCCCCAGCCAACCTCCACCCTTTAAAAGCTGGGAATACAAGTAGGACCTAAATGAAGTTGTGATTTAAAGTCAAAAGTCCATGTAAAAGAAAACAGTATTGCATCCAACTTTGAGAAAATAGGTGTCTAACTCTTTTCCCCAAGTGGCAGCTCAGCATACGCTTGTTGCTATTTTCAATAACAAAATATTTTTAAAATATGAGTATATTGTTAATTACAGAACAACTTTCTCTGAACAAAACTCATTATGCCAAAACACGTACTCAGAAAGTAGACATTCCCATATCTAAGACAGGTATAATTTAGTAACTACAAACCTAATTTTAATCTCTAGTTTAAGAATTAGCTGGAGCCCATTATTAAGTCTGATAACAGTAAAAACATCATGTAACGGTAGATGTTTCAAGGTTTACACCAAGATACTGATCTTTTGCCAGGATTTACTTTAAGCTTTGGCACGAGTATATAATACCTGTATTATTTATAAGTTGTGGGGGGGGAGGAAAGGAACTCTAAAGTTCTGGTAATGGTACTGCTCTCTGACTTTGAAATGGAATATCAAAGCATATGTTATGTGCTTAAGGGCAGAAGGATACAGATGAAAGACATAGCAGGAAAGAGACATCACTGGTTCACACTACCACTTTTTTAAAAATCTAGATGATCTGAAATCAGTCATTACAATGTTACAGAGTTTTCCACCACAAAGCCAAAAGTGCATATAGCACTGAAGAGACACTGCATTATCTTCCATGATAATTCTATAAGACTGACAGCACCTTAGTAATATATACTCATTGATTCACAAACTAAATGTCATAGTAGCAGAAGGCATGTTAAACTTTTAAACTTAGTAGATTTATGATCTCCGACTATTTCCAGGAGAATAAAGAGAAAAAACAAAAACTATAGTTTATAGTAAAATATAAATCTTAATCTTTTCAATTTTCATATTCCCCAAAATGTATTTCCTCAAACAAAGATCTTACTACATACAAATCCAAGACATTGCAAAAATACGTCAGTTTTTTATTTAAGGAAACTGCTTCTAGAGTTGGCAAAATAACTCAGTTTCTCTACTCATAAAGTTATTAGCCTTGATGAAAATAACATGAGCATTCAATGTTATCTGGCATTGTTGTTTACCACTCTCTCAAGACTAAAGACCTCCATGCCATTTGATTTACCTGGCAAGGACCAAATTCATTGGTTTGGGGGATATTTGCAACCACAGGAATTTAAGATATGATGATGGAGAGAAATAAAAAGAGATCAACCCTACCAAACACATGCACAAAAACAAAAACAAAAACAAACCCCAGAACTCTTAATTCTCTTTTAAAAGTTCACTTATTTCCTAATACTTTTCTTTTATTGGGTTGTCAGAAAAACTCATGACGCATGTTGCAACAGATGTCACTAGTTTATTTTTGGAAGTACTAGAGTCAATTGCATCTATGTTATTGCTATGTTATTTGACAGCTGACAGTTCCAGCTTCATTCAAAAAAAAAATTGAGCAACTGGGTTGAGTTTGGGAGATTTTACAACACGTTAAAGAGGGAGGACCAAACTGTGCACTTTTGCCATATTTTACAGTTTTACTTCCATAAAGGGAAGAACATGCATCAAGCATGTGAAAAGTTGCCTAAAGTTTACAGTGACAATGCTCTACAAGAACACCAGTGCCAACGATGGTTCACGAAATTCCGTGCTGGTGATTTTGATATCAACAACGCTCCTCAGTCAGGGAGGCCCACCAAGGTTGATGATGACAAAATAAAGGCATTGATCGAGTCAAACCCACGTTACATGACACGAGAGATTGCAGGAACATTGAACATCCATCATTCAAGCATTCACGACCACCTGAAAAAGCTGTGATATGTACGCAAGCTCGATATTTGGGTTCTGCATGAATGCAAAGAAGTTCATTTGACGGCGTGTATAAACATCTGCAATATGCTCATTAAAAGTGAGGAAAACCATCTTTTTTTGAAGCAACTGATAACTGGTGATGAGAAGTGAATTGTTTACAACAATGTGGTGTGCAAACGGTCTTGGTCTCAACATAATGATTCACCTCAAATGAGATCGAAAGCAGACATTCATCAGAGGAAGGTTATGCTCTCAGTGTGATGGGATTTTAAAGGTGTTGTGTTTTTCAAGCTCCTACCAGGAACCAAACAATCAATTTGAATGTGTACGATCAGCAATTAGACAGTTTGAACGCATCCAGAAATGCCCAAAGCTTGTTAATTGTAAAGGAGTTGTGTTCCATCGTGACAACACGAAACCACACACAAGTTTGATCACCCGTCAAAAATTATTGGAGCTTGGATGGGATGTGTTGCCACACCCACCATACTCGTCTGACCTTGCGCTGTCAGACTTCCACTTGTTTCACTCTCTTCAAAACTCCTTGTGTGAAGTAAACAGAAGTGGTCTCAGAGATATAGAGGAACAACTGATAGCTGTTAGTTGGGAGGGAGTGGGGATGAGGGAGAAGGGGAAGGGATTAGACAGCATAAATACGTAACTACTATATTGCCACAGAGACATGAAAGACAGTTCGAGGAATATAATTAATAATGTTGTAAATATTTTGTAGGGTTTCAGATGGTCACATGTCTTGCTAGGGAGACCGCATCATAAATGGGGTAGAGGCTTGATCACTGCACTGTACACCTGAAGCTGATGTTGTATAATACTGTATGT